AAGTAAAAGCAGATAAGTTCATATTTATTAAATCCTGTAATTGTTAAAATTCATACTTTGCAAACGTCATCAGTGTTCACAGGCAATAAATACATTTTAAATACACTGAACTCAGTAGTGGATAACGCGATGGCGTTTGAAACGAACGGTATTTGGTTCGAGTACCGGAGTGAACATCAACTCTGGGATGCAGGTACATCCAGTTGACGAGTCTTAAATGGGACGGGACGGGCGTCCTGGATTCTACTGCTAGCCACTATCTATCTTTGCTTAAAAGCTTGTAACTTAAGGCCATATCGAGGTAATCCGCACAGGATGAACGTATGCCAACAAGAGACTGATCAATTGCAGTCCTAAATAACAATGGGAAGATACAAGTAAAACAACACCAAGTGAATTTACGCTGGACTCAGTTGAAAAATTATGAATCACATTTTAAATTAATCAATAAGGTAGCTCAGTTAGTAACTGATTAGTTTAATATTTTCTCAACTCCGCTTCGATCCAATTCCTTTGACCGTGTAGATTACTTTAAAAAAAAACTCCTTTAGAACGATGTGTCTACAGTTGATTAAATGCTCTTGTATAGAACTAGTAATTGTTTTTCATTCTCTATCTTATTTTAATAGAATAAATTCACAAGACAAGTAAATATGATACATTAATATGACTTCACTTGGTATTGTTTGGCTTGTATCTTCCCATTGAGGTTTAAGACTGCAATTGATCAGTCTGTTATTGGCATATGTGCATACTGTGCGTATGCCTCGATATTACCTTAATTAATATGACTAACTGTAAAAAACAAAACTCAAAGAAAATATTCATTATTTTAAAAGAAATAGCATATTGTTTTTATGAATGAATGAATTTTCAACTGATAGTATGAAATTATTTAAGCCTAATAATATTAAGTTTAATTGTTGTGAGGATCACTTTTTTTTTAAATATCCACCTCATTTGTTTAACTGTTGTTCTTTTTATAATGGATTAGAAAAAAGATAGTGTCGATAAAAGTTTATATACAAGTAATTAATATTTGTAGTGGCTTTGCTTCGTTAATCAATCAACTCAATAACCATTATCAGAAGGCAATGAGAACCAGCAACTACAGTTTATTATTAGCGTATAGCGCAAATCACAAAGTTATAAGCACACCAAACGAATTTGAAGCGGAGAGATGAACAAGTATATGCGAGCAATTACATAGACATATTTATAGTCGAATTGTATAAGATCGCAGCAAGGTAAAGCAAAAGCTAATAATATGACTTGAGTACAATACATACATGGGGAAGAGGATGGATCATCGAGTGATAATTAAACAATCAACATTTTGGCTAGAGTCTATCATGTGCTCTAGTGATCATAACAGTACAAAGAAATATGCGAATTGTTACTGTTCAAATAACACTATCTGTTAAGTAAGTTAATGAAATGGCTTAACCAAAATTAACTATAATCGAAAGTGGTTATAGGATAGTTGTTAGATATTTACACAGAATGTACTTTCGTATATATATATTTCAGACATATGGAAGGATTTGTATGCAAAATCGTAAAAATCTAGATGGAGAATTGTTTTTCTCGACATTTGCAAAGGTTAGTTTACTTAACGTTTAATAATTTCCATTTTGAAAAAAATACACTTCATTATGACTAATTTATACTATTATAGTATGTTGATATCGTAGCTGAGCTGGAGTATGGAGGACAATTCAAAATAATCTTGTGATGGGGACACTTCAATTATCAATATTTATAACGTAGTGAACGAGAACACAGGTGAAGACAGTAGAATGTAATTGAACAAAAAATTACAGAACATCTTAGTAAAATCTGAGAACCATACAGTAAGTACTTAATTTGCAAAATGTCAGTCAGTTGTCTCAAACTTTGATTGTTCTTTTTGCAAATGTCAATCAATCGTCCCACACTTCACTGTTCCTTCATTTCCACAACAATCATTCTCCATCCTGGTCCTCTTTTTTTCAATCTTCTTAACCTTCTGTTGCCAGACATTTCACTTTTGATTAATGATTCATATTACTTATATCTATCGACATCAGTAGCACACACCACAATGTAAGTTGTAAGTTATGATGAAGGTTAATGTTCTATTGTAGAATGAAAAAAGGGATCTTCATTTAAGTATTAGTATCCAATCTCTGAGATTAAAATCATTAAATCATAATGAAAGGTCAACTTTCTTTCATCAAAATAGAAAAATATATTAGTTGAATACTGGTAGTCAAGTATCGTTAAATCCTACTCCACCTCAAACATTTTCGACTGGCTAACAACAGTTAATGTTTTAAGAATAAAGTTCTGATGTTGAGGTTTATCAGTAAGCTATACTAAGTTGACAAAATAGGAATGAATAAAGTTGGAATAGAAAAGAGTCATATGAACAAGATTTGACCAAGTCTAAAATCGATTGAAATTCTTACAATTAACAATACACTTATGCTTATGTACGCGATTCCTCACTGTACTTCATCTGCACTATCTGTTTTCATTGACGAATTCACCAAAATGACTGTTGCTACCCTCAGTCCTTTGCTTTAAACTATACGTGGTGATTTTAATACATGTGATTGTAGCTTTCTTTCATCATTAGGTCACCAAAATGTAGTCGATATCCTTGCACGTTTAGATGTGTATTTAGACTGTTCACATTAATGATTTGGGAATATATGTGACTCGTGAACCCACTCCATCACTTAATTCTGATTATTGCATTACTCGTGCTCTAGCTAAAGTGTATGGCAAACTCGAGAAGAGTACGCTCTTAGATCAGACAAAGAAAGTTAAATGCAAGAATTATTCAAAAGAAAATATTTAGGATCTGAGAAAAACATTTTTGTACGACAAAATAGGTTGAGAGAAAGAATGTACGAGGAGAAAAACTCCATTGAAGTTCGAAAACTAAATGATCTAATAAACCTAGAGACCAGACCCCTGAAACTAATGTTTACTCAGAAACTCCTATCTTATAAAACTCTTCAAGTATGTGGGAACCATTTAAGAAGTCACAAGTGACAGGTACATTAGAAGTGATAACTGGCTCAATATTTGTGACTTAAATATTTCTTTTGTAAGTCAGACATCTGATGTTATGCTTCCTATATCCACAGGTTTGAAGTATAGTTGTGCTTCAATTCCCACAGAAACTGATGTCCAAAAACATCTGTCACTTAACTCGTCCAAATGTGCAAGACCTGATTAAATCCCAAACCTCATTTTTAAGAAGTATGCTGACGTTCTGTTTTATTCATTCACGAGCATCTTTAACAGATCCTTCTCAACTAAGCTCATACCGAAAATGTAGAGAAAGATAAAGATAATCCCACTACCCAAGAAATTATCTGGCGATAAGAGTGTGAATTTTAGACACAGCAATAAATTCACCTTTTCTCAGAAAAATGGAAAAACTATTGCTACTCCCAATTAAACCTGCAATAAAAGAGTAAATTAATCAGTGTCGGTTTGCTTACAAATGCAAAAGTAGCACCTTAAATACTGTGTTCTACATCATAATATAGTGTTCAGCTCTGAAAAGGGCAAAAGGTATGTTAGATGAGCATTTCTAGAGTACTATTCTATGTTTGATTCTATTCTGAAACCACTAATACTAGACGAGTCTGCAGACGTCAACGCCAACAGCTGGATAACCAATTGACTGCGTTCTTACCAACTGGAATAGAGAGGTATACTGTTCTTGAAGGACAGTGTTCTATTTCTCTACTGTCTTATAGTGCGTCACAAGGGACTGTTGTGTCCTCTCTTCTTTTCATATTTTTTTTCTGCATGATCTACTATCTTCTACAAAAAACCCTTTCGTTGAGTATGCGAATGATCTCACTATATGCACATTGATTTCTAACTCTTCACATCTTGAGTTGAATGAGTTCTTGTTGCCCACTAAACGATAGTGTATTGTTAATGGTCTCTCACTTCACTCTTTTAAATGTCAAATTGTTAATTTTAGCCGAAGACATAAACAGCACTTAAACTCTCTGTTGGAATCTCATAAAGTTTGTACTGTTAGAGATTCTGTACTATAAACAGCGTCAAATGGCCACTTGTCTTGGCATAACTCTTTCCTCTGTTCTCTCTTGGTCTTCTTATGTTCTATTGGTATCGAAGAAAGTTTTCTCTTTGATTTACTGTATAAACAGGTTATATGCTTTTGGCATTGCTTAAGACTTTTACGATTCGTAAATTCATACATATAATCTATTATTTTTTACTGTTCCTTATTATTCTTTCTCGGGTTTTAAAAAAAACATTTCTCTGTGTTTCGGAGTGCCAAAGGAAATCATTAGGATATGTAGTGAGTCTTTTAAAGTCATTATGAATATGGTTATGGACAAACATTTAAAATCATGCAAACTCCTGGCAGGTATTATCTTATCAGATATAAACCATTCACTTCAATCACATCTTTCCCCTTGTATGTCTTGTATATCCATACACCAAAATAAATGTATTAAAGATCTACAATACCGCATCTGGAATATATACTATGCGACGAACAAGTTGTAATAGCTGACCTAACCAAAAACTTGTATCCTTAAAAATGTTTCTAATTAAGTTATTTTATTATTATTATTTTATTTTTTTTTTAAAAAAAAACATTATATTTAATTCCAGATGGTTTATTCACTGATCTTATGTATATATGTATGTAGTGGTCGGTTTGTTCTCCATTGTAAAAGAAACGTGTTGAAACACTTTTTCCTAAGAATTTTATATGGTACCAAACATATAATATTGAATAATGACATTAATTACACAACATTTCAGTTTCTTTTCTTTTCCTTCTGTCATCTATTTTGTTCAGTAAAACAACACAGTTTGAAGCTTCTTCCTAATATTTCTGTTAGTTTCTTCTAATCTAAGAATATAATAAAACGATCATGTATTACATTTATTCAGTTAACATTTTGATACACTAATTATTCGCTTTATTATCACCTTTTTTCAAATAACTGAAGATGATGTGTGGCTACTTTAATGATACGATTAATAACAAGTTCAAATCGTCCAAGCTCAAATATACATTCAGGTAACACATTTGTAATTTTAATCAGTTTATTAAAAACTAAATTATACTTGCTATATGTTTTCAGAATAGTGGTTACAAATTAGTTTGACAAGAGTATTACTCACTACTCAACATCTCCTCAGTAGTTATGATGTAAGCAAAAAAACTAACATGAGCAGAAAAATACGATATATTCTTCTGACAATAATTAATCATTATTACCATCCCCTAACATAGGGATTTTCAGTAACAAGTTTTTGCATGTGCGATAGAAGAGCCAGATCATCTGCGAAGTCCAGATCGTCCAGCTGTATCCTAGCTGTCCACTGTATCCCATGTTTCCCTCTCCACAGATGTTGACGTCCTCATGATCCAGTCGATCACCAGGAGGAAGAGAAAGAGTGAGAGCAAGCAACCTTGCCTGACACTGGTCTTTACTTCGAACGGGTCTGTCAGATGTCCTCCGACTGGAATATATATATAACTGTCCTCCGGATATTTAAGCCAGAACCTTCCCAATCTCAGCAAACTTTGTCAGCGAATAGTGCACCTGGCTCAACACCTACCACTTGCCATTTGCTTCTGGACCAGCAAGTGTGTACAGGCACGTGATATGTTTGTATCCGCCAAAAATATCAGTTATCCCTCTAATAATGGGTCGTCCTTTTTGAATTTACATGACAAGTTTATAGTACACAACCACGTCTCTTTTGGGAGATATACTGTTTTCAAGGGATGTTTTGATTCAGATGGGCGATTTCTTTTATAAAGCTCCTGAAAGTGTAATTTTCCCACCTGCCCTTAGGATTGGTTGACATGAAAGGAGTGCATGTTGTGATTATTCTGATGATGCTGAAGACTTTTAACGATATCTATGCCGTTTGTCTCGTATAAATCTTCGCCTTTCATCAATGGATGTTTGAGATACAACTTAATCGTTTGTAAATAGTTGGTTGAAATCCCTTGTGAATGAAAAATACACTTGATTACTAATATGATTCAGTGAATTATTATGGAACGTAGCATCTAAAGTCAATAATCACATTAGTGAATTGAAAAACTCTTATAATTAAACTACAAGGGTGTCTATAATATAATCATTGACAGAGTGAATACTTGGCTGAACAAGTTTGTACCAAGGTTGACGAGAAATTAGTGAAACATTTGACGAAGTTTAAAACTGCTGTTACATAATCTAATCACTAGCATTAGTAAACGTTAACTTACGACCGAAAGTGAAATAAGTATAAGATATAATATTAATTGGATAACATTAGTCTAATCGCTCGATTATAGGTAGCATGATTTAGAGACTTTAACAAGCGTCTGAAAGCCTGAAGAATTTTTATGCATGACCACTGGAATCACAAATTCTTCAATCACTCTTATTAGAAAATGAATTTGGAAACTGTTAAATTCCATATTTTTAACAAATCATGTCTGGCAGATAATTAGAACCAGATTTGTTACCAGACGTACTAGATATAACCCATGGGACGAATGAAAAATGAGTTTGAACGCCGTAGATACTGGAACTGAGGATTGATGAATTTTTTCAAATGATTGACACTACACATTAAAAAAAATAATTTCGTCTAGTTATCGTCGTTTTATATTCGAACATATGGGTACACATCACTCAATGTGGTTTATTTAATGTACTGCTTAATATTTCAGCTTGTAACATATTTCTCATTTGTTTTAGCAGATATCTCAAATCTCCACTCACTATAACCTCATTTTTACTAATGTAGTTATGTTCTTTTCAGTGTCAGTTGAGGCGAATAGAAATATTAAGTTTACAATATTTGCATTTAATCTGTTCCAATAAATAAAATCAACATCTTATTACTTTTATGCATGAAAGATTATGATAGTCCATCACTTGACCTACTAATGACAATATATTTCACTCCAATATATCTCTTTACCAGTGTTAATGACCTTCTGAAACACAGTCAAGAATTCTCCGACGTATACCAATGTCCAGTCGATTCCAAAATGAATCATGCAGGAAAATGTATTCTTTAAATGAATGTAGAAGTTATATGTATTAAAATATTGGTTTAAATGTGTCTTCAATTTTGTAACCATATTGGTGGTAATGTATTTGTTTATCTTTTTCAATAATAACAATTTAATACGGTTTTTTCCCCATTTCAATCAGTTGATTATGAAGATAGCATGAATGGACTGACATTTTGATTCAGTTGAAGAAATAGTTCGTTTTTTTTAAATGCTGTTCCCACAATGCTCAAATATTTTATAAATGAAATAAATCATTTTGAAGTTGAATCTCTAGGTCATTATTTTTGTGTGTTTTGAAGAAACAATATACAAGAAATAGATGTATCAACGGACCTTCTACTTTGAAGAATTGATATTTACCAGAAATACATCTTGAATACTCTTATAACCAACTTAGAATTAAAATTTTAAAAATTATTGACTAAATATTAGTAATTTATAGAATACCAGTTTAGATATGTTATAACTTGTAGCCTGTGCGCTCTGTTAATGTATAACGTGATGATACCACTAATTAGAGAACAGTGAATTATCGATTGAACCAATGACTCATAAAACCTGTACGAGCAGTCTATAGTACGTATCGGTTGTGCTTCCTGCCTAGCCCAACCAGTTAAGTCCAGAACATCAATCTGAGCCTCTGTGATATGAATCATTTATTTCAAACATACTGAGTTTATATACCAATCAAACAGACAACATCACACCATAGAATATGAAACAACATTTGTACAAGATTTAACCCAAAGTGGCTGTGAATGTCGGAGGTAGTGAATAATAAATAGGGCATAATTCAAGAATGATAAAACGTATATTAATAGTTCATAGGTCAAAATAAAGGTTATGATAAGAGTAACACGAACATGAATAATCTAGTTAGTTAACAATCATAAGATAAAAAATATACGTATATTATTAGTCCATAAATGGATCCGATAAGTTATCATTCACTATTCTTATCGGGACATAACAATATCCCAGTTTAGAGTATTTAAACTGAAAATTTTGATTTGGGAGTTGATTAAGTTCGACAAATTATTAGTTTTTGATATATACAAATAGCTCTGAGTGAAAACCTCAGTTAGCGAAGTCATTCCTTGTAAATAAATAATTATTGACTTAATGTACAGTCCAAACTGAGAAACGTTTGATCCAATCAGCGCTGAACAGAAGTTTCTCGGAAACATCTAAAGAGTGAAGATTCACATGTCAAAATTCTAACAGGATGATTACCTATCCTTTTACTATGTTTGGTGTGGTTCCAGAAACTTCCAGAAGTTCAAGGCCATCTGAAATACTATAAATATCCTCGATTTTTAATACATAAACTAACCTTGGAGTGAAGCGTTCGTACCACATTTCTCTTTTTTTTTCTCGCGTTCAAGTTGCCTATGGAACTCCATCGTTTCTGTGTTCTGAACGACATTTAACATGTCACGAATCTCCCATGCCATTCGCAATAAAATGCAGAATTTGAAAAGTTTTTAGACACTCATAAGAGGATTGAAAAAGCCAAGCGGAAGGGAAGTTTGAGGAAATATTAAAGTTCTTGCCAGCGCATCGTGAGACACCGAATACCATAACGACTGATGAGTTTACACCGGTAGGAGCAATGTTTGGAAGAAAAAAATAAAACACTACTGGACAGTTTGAGGCCACATATTATGACGACTACTGAGCGGAACACGAAAATGAAAAAATGGTATTTGATTCCCATCATCCGTAAACGGAGTGAGTACATGGAATTATCCTACGCAGTAAAGAGAAAGTTATCTATGAATTCAGAGTTGGTAATATGAAATAAATAAGGTGCAGCAACCACATACGACCATCCACATGTGAAGAAAGAGACGAAATCAATACGAAAATCCATATGCCTCTGAATATGTTGGTTGTTCGATAAACAAGAACAGTGGATGAAGAACAGAACCATCCTTAAAACCACAACAGATTTGAATGAACTCTAATGACAGCTTTTATCAATGATGCTTTAAAAAAAAGGAGGTATGGTATGGAACGATTTATCTATGAGGTAAAAAATTTCGAAGCTATTTTCCTACGATTTTGCTTACACTTATTGATTGGATGTTTATTCAGTATTTCGGTTTTATTATTTTCTTATTACCCTAGTTCTAAGCTTTTACTTGAACCGTAATTTGTTGTCATAGCATTTCCCAAGCATAAACTAGGACCGATTAATTGTCTACCTAGTATTCCGTTTTCATATCGTTGGTGTCGTTGTTCTGTGTTAATACTGTTACCCCATTGGTCTGCTGCGTGGTCTAGTCTTATAGGTAATATAAATGAATGTCTGAAATATAATAACTAGCCTGAAATGGTGGACATTGATCTTCACTTCTTCCTCTTCGTTCGGGACTATTTAGTATTGAACCAACCTTCAGACATAGAGTATCAGTTTTCCTGGTCCTTGCTGCGTGTTGGTTGCTTTAGGTAGTCTACACATACTGGTTGGTTGTAAGATATAACACAACCAATAATATGTACGTCTCCGGCTGTATTCCACACCTCCATATCAATTGCAAATCCGAGCGAAGTCACTTTATATATATATATATATATATATATATATATATATTTACAAGGTGACCAACAGCATTCGCCATTATATCAGATTTACAAAACAATAAGAACCGAAGAACAACGTTTCTAACTTTGGAATCGTGATTGATGGAACTGATTGAGAAGAATTTGAGTGCAGCAAGTCAACGTACGTGGATTAAATACTGAATTGATATAAATAAACAAGCAACAATTAGAGGAAGCCGTGTCAATAGATTATTTATTATACCTTACACTTTTTCTTCATATTATACTAAAGTAGACGAGAACCATTTATTATGGAAACGATTGCTAATGATAGAAACTAGTAGTGCTTTCCATAAACCCGGTTCTACTACATACAGGCTACTCTCAGTACCTGTGAGATATTGGACAGTTAGATATTTTGCCAAGTATTGCTTTATGAAAACATATAACATTACTAATTATACCTAGCGATTCGTATTCGCGCTTTAGTGCTTTTCATATAACAACTATACTACTTACTGATATCCAGCAGTTTATTTCGTTGTCTGTCATTTTCGAAAGTATGACTAATATGTCTCTTCAGAATGTGTGATAGTTCTCAGCATTTATGAGTTTGTGACACTTAACTCACTTAATTACATTAACTTAAAATTTCTAACGGTTAGGCTCACTTTTCAGGTTCACTGAACATTTCCTTATACATAACAGTCTCTACATATTGTGTACATAGCTTTGTTTAAATTTGTTGTCTGATATTGATATGGTTACTACCAGGCATTTAGATTGCCGTATAATTTTTGTAAATTATTCTAACAAAAATTTTGAGAGAAATACCTCTCCTCTGATTTTGATTTTATTTCCCAGACACCTCTGGAATTGAGATTAGTGGATAATATATTGCTTTTAGTAATAATACTATTTTGTATACAAATGCCTGATTCTTTTTCCGAATTTTGCGCAAGACTCAACTTCCAAAATGAAATCGGCCAGTTATGGCTGTTGTCGAGAAAATCACTAGTGATGCTTTATCTTCATTTCAAAAACAACGATAAACAGATTAAATAATTCCCAACTATCACTACTTAGTAGCTTGCATAAAGTACAGAATGATGTAAATAAAGTATTGTCAGTACGGCTAGTATGAGATAAACTTACTGCGATATTAGGACGATAAATTAGGAGAAACTAAAGAAAAAGCATGGCAAGAATTTAACCGCTTACCTCCACCCCTTTCGTTCTTAAACATGTATGAATTTGCATAAATATACCTATTCCAATACTCTACGTTTTAATGAGGTAATCTTTTTTAAGAATAAATTTCCTTTTGCAATAATGAGAGCTAAACACCATAACCTCTGTTATTCTTCATTTTTTAAACAGAGAAGATAATTCGGTAAATATAAACGGTCGGTAAATACCTTTCAACGTTGGATAAAGAGAAGCATAGCGTACTTGGTATTCTTCCATTTTACAGTAGTCTGAAAGTTCTAATTCTTCTAATTTTATTGTGGCTATGTAGTGAACAAGAACACAAGTGGGGACAATCGAATGTATGTGAATGCAAAATTACAGAACGTCTCAGTAAAATCTGAGAACTATATAGTAAATATTTCATTTGCAAAATGTTCATCAATTGTCACAGACTTCGTTGTTCTTTCGCTTCCACACCAACCATTCTCTGTTCTCATTCACTTTTCTTCGATCTTCTCAACCTTCTGATGCCAGGCATTTAATTTTCGACTGATGATACATACTATTTATAACTGCCGACATCAGTAGCACACGCCAAAGCTAGTTATTAAATCATCTGTTTTATACTATTGATCCAAAATTGCTAGTAGACATAACTAAATGGCATAAAGAATTATTCATAAAACATCTATACTTTACAAAAAAGACGTAAAATGGTGGGAAGAAATAGCAAAACATAGATTAAGTGCTCATCTATAATTTGTTGGATCAGTACACAGACAATGAAATTGTCCCACTTAGGTTTCCGCTGTTCGAAACATCTATGTAGATAAAAGAGCAAGTTTGTCAATCACGGATCGAGACTAATCTGATAGAATTATTTCTATATACCAAACTAGCTATTTTACCAGTCACACCATTAAGACTGTATAAGGACCCTAAATATTTCCAGGGCTAAACCATAAGGACCTGGCTTGTATCTGCTCATCTCAGGTTAGTTATGGCCTCTTCAACCTTGTATGGGCTTAGAAACCCAATGTACGTCTTTGATTTAGACTTTTGATGGGTAATGAACAATTAGACCAATTTGACAGTTCCATAAAATATCCCATAAATCGCTTTAGTCATGTGATCCAAGATTGGACTATAATTTTGTTTCTTCAGGGATTTTCACTAGTAGCTGACTTTTTGACCGAACAATCTCAACAGTTGACTTGTGTTATGCATCGTCGTTTCATATTCCATTTCCTTTACTTTTTTGTCTT